TGTTATACTTATTTTCATTACTTTTTTCTATTTACAGCTAAAAATAACTCTATTAAAATGGAAAGAGAAAGAAAGTTAGAATTATTTTGAGTATGGGTTAGAAAAGGATGTTTATATAAGAATACAAAGGTACAAGAAATTGATGGTGAAATGTTTTTAGAGGGTTAGAAATAGAAAAATGATGATCAGATTGAATTAATTGGTTTGATATTTGTTTACAAAATAAAGATGGTGTAAATGAACGATACAGTTTATGGAATATGTTGCATATAGGCTTGTGTTTGATAATATATGTGGTGTGGTGTAAAAAACGCAGGCTAGTTATTAAAGATTGAAATTACATGCTTCCATGGGATTTTATTTTTGTTTTTGTTTAAGAAAGCAGATTTATATGCATCTGCATGCGGGAGAAGTTGGGGTCTTGAGGAAAGAGAAGGGTTATAGGGCAGGAGCTGGTAAGGAGGGGGGCCTGGGCTGGGATGGGATGGTAAAGCGAGTATATGTATGTGAGATAAGTAAAAGGGCTGAAAGGTAAACAAAAAGAAAGGGAAGTGACGACTGTATTTGGGAACGCAAATAAACCAAAGGTGCATTGCTTTTAATATAAGCAATATGGCATAGAAACGCGTCGGTTGTCTTGGAAAAAAGAATAGGAAAATGACAACATACCTTTTGAGTGTCAAAGTGTTGTTACAGATATTAGAGAATAAAGAGAGATTGACACGATCACAAAACCGAAGCTGTCTCAAAAATTCTCTTTCATTTTTAGGATAGATGCTATTCCCTATTTAGGATTCATCGTTACACACGCCCATTTTTTCTAGCTAGCCAATTAATCCCAAAACAGCCTTTCTTTTCTTTTTTATTTGCGGATTTCCGTTTTGTTTTTTCTCAACAAAAGCCAAAATTTCGTTTGGTTTGGATGAATGTGGTCTGATAAAAAAGCCATTTAGCTCTTTCAGGTAAAAACAATTATATAACTGATTTCTTGAGGATACTTCAATTTTAACAAGCAGTCCAATAAAAAAGCAAGTCTACCTTTCGAAAAATCTTTAAAAATCATATTTCCACTTCAATAGGAAATCTACAAACTTCGTTAATTTCTTCCAATCCCAATTTTTGTTGCAAATTCTTATGACACTTTTGTTATAAATACTCGAATCAAATCAACTACAACAAGTAGCGATGTTCTTTTCATTTACTTTTCATTATTGGCTATTCAAAAAAACAATCATCTGCTGACTCGAGCTTTACACTTGAAGTGTGGGAAATGGAGGATCCCGGTTTAGACCTCTACATGAAAGAACTAATCAATTAATCTCTTTTCTTTCTTTATAAAGGGCATTTTTATTTCAAAACAGCTTCAAACCATTGGATAAGTTTATAAAACCCATTCTAGATCTGATATTTTAATTCACTACAAAATTTAAAAACTCTTTGTTTCCAATTGGTTTCTCTATATTGGTTTACTTGATTATTCTCAAAAAAAGTTACTGCGATCCCTCCATAAAGACAACGGTTTTAGCTCTTATATTGTATAAAATAAACAATTTGGGCTTGTTCTGTGGCTTGAATGTGAGCAAATCACAAAGAGCTGAACTAATCTATATGGCGCATTTTGAGTAAACAAGACGTTTTAAAAATTACTTTTTCCTCAAACAAACCTTCTTCAGGAAAAAAAGTATTTTTTTTACTAGATAATCCGCTATATCTAGGTAAATAGCTTTAATTCGCTTATTTTTAATAACAACCCCAACCAATGTGCAATCAAAGTTTGTGATAAATTAAAACTGTTTGTTGTTTTTTTAAAAAACATTTTTTGTTCAACATGAAAATGTAACAATCCTTTGGTTCAACTCCCTAATCTGAAGCTATTTGTGCACTTTTGTAAAGACAATTTTTGTAGAAATTAAGAATTTGACCAAAAAATATCACCGTTTTTTATTATGTAATAGTGTCTATTTCAATTAATCCTTTTTTACCAAACTTTAAATCCATCCCCCCCATGAAAATTTATTCAGCAAG